AAATTAATCCTTGATTGGATTAATCCCTGATTGGATTAATCCTTGATCGAAGATGCCCTTCAATGTGCTCGCATCGAATCGGTTGTTTCCGGAACGTACAATCCATCGTGTGACTAAAGATGAACTTAAAGTGAATCCTGTATTTGAGCATCCTGGATATAATAGACGTCGGCCGTCGCAATTACGTCGGACTGATTTACGGTAGAAAGTCGCGCGACTATTACTGTAAGATATTACATCGCTGTAAACACAGCTGCCGCGCGCGTCTTTATTACAGCAGACCTTGCTCGCTATCATTAATCAATCACGTGGAGTGGACAAAGACATGCGCCTTATGTAACGCGCGTCATATGGGGACCGTCGGTAACTTTGATTGCGTTTGGTGCAACGAGAATTGCACTAGACATCTCGATGAGCCTTGTTTACTCTTAACCACTCGCGCGTTAATAAAGATTCACGTCTTCATGGCACTGAGTAACAATCTAATTAAATTTAATCCTTATATAAACTTGCGACGATCAGACTTGGGTAAAATAACTGTTGCAGTAGGGTCAGATAAATCTTAAATCATAAATACATACAGCGTTATAATTTATCTAACAATAAGCGATTTCGTGAACAGCAGTTTAATTTATATTTTTCAATATCTTTTTTTTTTTTTATAAACAATCCGCTCTCGAATAGGTCATGCAACCTCACTGTGGTAATCGGAGATTAATAAAAATGTTCCTTTCTCAATGATCTAGACGGGCCGTCATTCCGCGCTGGTACATGACAAATATAAATTAGCTCTGACACATTCTCCTCTTCACTCTTTTCATCTTGTGCGATTTACGTTATTACTGACACTCGAACCTTCAGCCATACAAAGAGATCGGTTATCTAAAAAGGAACAATGTAGAGAGCAATCGAATCTCCAAAGGCACTGTCACTCCATGTCACGTCTAAGATATGGGAGATACGAATCAGTGCTAACGCATTTTTTTTCTCGGCCACTTTCATCTCTTCTAATGATCAAACAGCGATATACATCGCATTTCCCTGATATCGAGAGTTAACACGTCATGCTGATATCGTGGATAGATCTTCGCGCGATGTCGTTTTCGCGAGCCAGTCATCTATCCGGCGACTTTCGAAAAGATCGACTTAGAGATCCGATTCGACACATTGACGTTGACATCCGACAGCTTCGCGAGGGTGGAGAAACCGGAACTAATTATACTCGTAGCGTCGTTGAACTTTCACCGCAGGCGCCACGATATTCGTCATATATTGCCGTTTAACACGACGTGAGTCGTGTTCTAAATTTGTTACAGCATCACGTAACAGCAACTTATATAAATCTTCCCGGCGCAAGCTCGCGCGAGGTTAAATCTTTCAAAGTTTATTCCCGTAGAGAGAGGAAAAGGAAACAAATCGTATACAAGCTTTAAATTATTTTCCCCAAAAGTGTAGCTCCTTTCGACTAAGAATTAGTTGATAAAACTTTTACATCACTACAAAATTTGATAAAAAGACTACAATTCTTATTCGCAAATCTTCGATCTCAAGTAACAATATCGTTCTCTCTTACTTTAAAGAATTATTAAGATTGAATTTAAAAAAAGAAGAGAAAATAGTTTTTAATCTTTTTGAGTTGTGGTTATTAGGATTATCTTACAAAATTATAAAAAATGTCATAATTCTAAATATCATCGATAATTTGTGTTTACCTTGATTTACTGAAATAACAAAAATCAAAAGATAAAATAATTTTTCTTCAAATATCGATTATCAAGACTATTTTAACTCTAAATGTATCTTTATAGAAAATTGTCCATTTATTTAAAAAAACCATTAGATCAAAATATCTCACTCTTATATAAATTTTATGATCTTTTGGATTTTATGATTAATTTTATGAAAACCTTAAGAACTGTACAAATTTTTAACGGACTAATTGTGAAATTAAATTTTAAAAAATGGATGAAATAGTACTAGACTCTTAATATTCAAAATACAAAAATACACATATATGTACCTACATAGGGTATATAAGAGTCAAAGAAAAAAAAAAGAAAAATTATATAATGTGTCTATTTTAAAAAATTAATGATAAAACAATTAAATAATATTATAGGTCATTATTACAGTCATTATTACAGTCATTATTACATCAGTTTTGTTCATCGTGACAGTTAGACGTTTTTAATCATTAGCAGTGATTTTGATAATTTTATACCTTTTACCGTTTTCAATATTACATACTTGTTTTTTTATTTCAATTTTATACATCGGACGTTATGCACACTTATTGTGATATTATTCTTTTACTTTCTTTTGACTTTAAATCACTATTTAAATTTAACTGTTGACGAACATTTCATCATTGACTTAATTTTTTCAATTTTTCAACTTTGAGAACAATGAGAAATTTTCGCATTTAGTCAACCAATCGCACGAGCAATTTCCGTGTTTCTGTTTTAACATTCATCTGTATTTCTCAAAAATCAACAACTTTTTAGTTATAATTTTTGCATAATAATATTTTTGTATCTGAAGAGGGCTTGATATAAAACCTGAAACATGTAGGCCTATAATATTATTTAATCTTTTTATTAATAATTTTTTAAAATAGACACATAATATTTTTTTTTGACTCTTATATGTCCTGTATATATGTATTTTTGTATTTTGAAATTAAATTAGTTTATCTTTGATAATTTATAAAATACTCTTTACTTATTTCATTTATCATAATAATTCGAAAATTACATTTTTTGTCATTTTTGCAGTAAAGGAACAATATCGTGTGATCAAATCCAAACAAAGAGATCTTGTATAAAAAGATAGATCTTACGTAAATGTTCTTAAGTTAAAATTGTTGCACGTTTAAATTGCTTCAAGAAAATTATTTAATTGTTGACTTACTATTCTGTCGGCATAACTGCATTCTTCTTACAGCACGAAGCTTTATTATCCGCGGTTAGAGAAAGTGTGCCAAAACGTGTCTCTTCCGGTATATATGTCACGTAGTATACTTGTATAGCATGAAACGTAACTGCTGGCGTGCTACCGGTACTTCTATAATTCATAAATATTATAACAATTTCGCATTTGTCAAAATATTAATCTGAATGCGCATTAGGATGCGTGTATCGGCGATACATCGGCGTGATATCGCCGGCGACTCATAATGTTTATTAATAGTACCATAAATTCGATTATCCGGCCTCGATTAATTCCATCTATCGCAGTCTTATTTGCACTCACGATTCAACAAATACCGATTATGATCGTGCCGTCGAATCGAAATTGCTACCGCAATCAAGAAACATGATTCGCGGAATTTATAACTGAATTATGAAGCGACCGCTTGGTATTAATTATCAAATTAAACGCGGTGGCGTACGGGCGAAATACATATATACATATATACGCGCCTCTGTAAACAATTTAACATTATAATTGGTGTACGTGAATATTTCCGCAGAATGAGCAATCTGTGTTTGTTTATGCGTATGTTCACTTTGACAACTATAATCATTTTAAATGTAAAAAAAAAAGAACTGGATAAAATAAAGTGAAAAGAGAACAGAAAAACAGAAAGGCTGGAGAAGGAGAGTAATTAATCTATTTATATTTACATATTTAATTTTGGCGAGTAACAGTGCGGAACACCAATTAATGCATAAATGCTGTGTGATAACATATATGCATAATACAGTATAAACTGTTTATATTGTATTCGTTAAATAATTTTATATTAAACTATATAGAGATATATTGCATAGCACTTTCCGAATTTCTTCTTGAATCGATTATTAATTTAATTCGCTTTTGTATAACATTATCAAATTATTGGAAATATATATAAAAACCAATTAGATTACCAAGAACGTGTAAGAACTTAATGAAAGAGAATATACAAATATGAAAACCAATTCGCATTTTACCATTAACGTAATTGCCCTGTTGCTCGAACTGTCTCGCCGAATTATCTCACAATCAGGCATCAAGAAAACGATGTTAGTCGGCAGCAAGAACTCTCGCTATCATTCGCTTATATAACAATTTGTCTTTCTCCTTCGCCGCCATGACCATTTTTGACCCCGATTTTTCTATTATCGCTTAGCCGTCTGTCCACATTTAACTTAAGTGAATTTGCTAGTCTCACGTCAAGTAGCGACTCTCGGAATTTTTGCCAATTCTTTAACAAAGTAGGCGAAGAAAGCTGCCGTACGCGTCTCGAAAGAACAAATATTTACTTTCCTTCCAATGTTTAAAAAAAAGTGTTGTTACGAGGCAGTAATTTACTATTAATTAAAAAGATCCTTTCACTGACAATAAGCTAAAAATAAATACCCGATTATAGAATTAGAATTTTTTCACGATGTTGTAATAGTTATTTTTACACACATTCGAGGTCATTGAATAAATTTACATTCATGAATTTGTATACTTATATGTTGTTAAATATAAATGAATATTTTTAGGTTTTTATTAACTTATTACAAAATTTTCTACTCTTAAACAAATAACTCTGTCTCTCTCTTTCTCTGCATATCTGTCTGTCGTTAATCAGATTGATAGAATCGTTTAAATTATAGCTAAACGGGATTGCGACTGAAGTAAACATGACAACACGATATGTTTTAATGTAATTAATAGCGTTTATGTCTTAATGATCTCATAATACATATTACAATTGTTATTAATACTTTGTCGATTTTATAACTGAGTATATCTCCCTAAACAAATCTTTCAATATCGCATTTATCCTAAACACGATTTGATATCACAATTATAGTAATTGATCCGCACGTTGAGGGTACACTTAAAACAACGTAATTTTATTATACGACAAAGGTGCGGTTGATGAGAAATTGGGAATTAAATCACATATTCCTTCGGCATATAACATTTTTATACAAACTTATCTTTTTACATTCGATGTCAAGCTAAACATATGCAAGTGAAGTATGAATCTTCAACGTTGTCTGTAGCAAGAACTGCATCAGTTACACTTTGTTTCTCTCCTCCTGGTAGGGATGAGCGGCTATCCAGTCGAGGGCTCGCTGGATGGCAGGCGGAATTGCCGGCGGGGGTGGCGGAGTCGGTAGATGCGCTCCTTGGAAAACAGCGCCATTCTCGTCTGCTTGCCAGTCGAGATTAATTCTCTGTCCGTCGGGCGCGGTCCACGACGCTTTGCCGTGTACCTCCTCAGCTTCCTTGTCCTTCTGGCCAGAATTCTTCTGAACGCCCTGCTCCTCGAAGGTAATCCCGTTGGCGCTCTCCCATTTCAGAAAATAGCTACCGTCCGGGCTGATGTCCTGTTCCTGCCTGACTATGGCTATCGGCTCATTTGCCGCTGATATTACCGCCGCCAGGCTCATCAAGATAATTACTTGCGGATTCATCCTGGATATGAACGAAAATAGATTAGAAATTCGTCTAACGTCTGATTACTGACCGTTCATTTGCTTTGTTTGTGATTTATAAAAATTTGTAGATATTAAAATTTCTACTACAACCTTTGATCTACATTGCTTTCCAAGCAACAAAATTTATTAAGTAATAAAAAGAATTTATAAACGCAATACTAGAAATGAAACACGAGAATTATAAATTTTCCCTTTGTGACCTACGGAGATTTACGAATTTCATTTATTCAGTATTTATCCAGCATATAGAATTTTCATGTAAAAGAGCTGTGTATATAGAGCTGTGTAATTCAACGGTAAATGAGAAGTCCAAATAATTTTGAAATTTGTTGAAGCTTATTGAATTATACTATAAAAGAACGACGGTTGTAGTACAGCGTTTGAGATTTGACTGACAAGCGATTCTGCGAGACTCTTACCTCAACTGCTTCGTTTTTCAGATATTGCGTGCACGGTACTACTGACGAGCGTTTATCCACTGCGTCCTCCTTTTATAGATAGCAGTGCCCTGTGCTATCGGCGTATTACTTCAAATGCCACGATGATACCGGTTCGAACCTTTATTATAGACCGATGCATACCGCAAAGGAAACTCTTTTATTATACCCGTAAGCTTTTATATCCGTTTATATCACGATCCCCGAAATCAGAAGTTCTGCTCTTCTGTCGCTGCGTTTTCATCGCTCTTAATTTATCTCGTTATCATTGATTTATCACTAACGTTTTAAACGCGACGATTATTTTTTGCGATGAGCAAGGATAGACATTGCAAACAGCACGTGAGCGGAATCTTGTACGTAATATTATAGCGTAAATTGTCCAAAATTTTCTTAAATATTTTATAATTTTTAAATAAGAATTAAACAAAGTTAAACACACCGCAGTTGTTTAAGAGAGTTTCCATACAAAGATGCATAAATAGACACGGAGTTCAAGTACGTTGCAAATGCACGTAGTGTTTTAACCTTTGAAACGTACGTTGTATACCCACTCGTTTTTCCTCGGGATTCCTTTCGCGATCGATGTGCATTGCACTCGGATGATTTTTTATCGTTAACGCCCGACAGTTGCGACGTACGATGGGTCGTTAGCTCGTTTATCCCTATAGTTCTTTTGTTGCAATTTTCGTGCACATCTAGCTTTCTTGTGGTCATTTATATCCTTTTATAACCGCGTCTTTTATTAAGCGTTAAGTGATATATGCCGCTAAGTCTCTTAAAAATTTATTTGCATTTATTGAGATATATTTTTCACATATTTATTTTATTATACAAAACTATCAAGCGCTGTTTTCAAAAATACTATTTTAAAATCAATTCATATTTTTCCTTTGATTTTTCGTTTTTCCTTTCTAAAAATGCTATAATCCAAAAAAAGATTCAGGTGTTAAAGCTTAATTAATTTTAACGTTTATAGAAACTTTTTCAGACAAGTATGTAAATTTCACATAGATCATTGAAATAGCAAAGTATATATTTGGAAAACTACTTTAAAGTTGCTCATCAATTCTCAATTTTAATCGATAACCGATTCTAATTCTAATGAAAGATATCGAATATATCATTAATCGTTTATTCTTTGAAATGAATTTATCTTATAAAAGGATTATCTTCCGCAATGATAAAAACGATTTGCAATGTTAAACATTTAAAACAATGTAATTGTAATATTTGAAATCTATTTGATTTTTGAATAAACGTTTAATTATGCAAATGTGCGCAGCACACATTTGAATTACGACGAAAAACACACAAGAGCTTGACGAAAGCCTCGACGAAAGCGAGATAATCGAAAGCTATTTATTATCGAAATGGTGTAGGTAAATGCGATGTGTTATTACACAGAAAGAATTATGTCACGTTTACTGGACATTTCATTTTAGTGGTTTTCTTCGATCGCTTGCGTAATGCAGTTTCATTACTCACTATTGAATTACCTTGTCAGTTGCCATAAATGTACCTGATACCCGTAACAGGATACGCATCGTAGTGATATGTATTTCGTGGAAGAGTCGTTAAAACCGAAGTTTTCCCGTGACACTCACTGCGATATAATAGTACCTCGATTCAAGTTATTAATTTTTTTATTTAACACTCATTGTTGAAGTGAGGTTCGTTGGCAGGTATGCCAGACTTACTTGCGCCCGACGATGTAACATTTACTCCGGAGGATGGGCAGATTGAAAATCTGCACGAGGCAAAATTGCATAATAACGGCGCGATGCCGAAGACGTACTTGCAGTTTTTAACCTTTCTGTGGCGAGAGCCAGCGGCATGAAAAGGAAACATTTTTATGCCGTAAAAGCGCGCGCGCGCTCGCACACTGGCTATTATTTAGCATTCGCTTGTACTTATGTCGTTTTACGGCCAATATGAAGCATATCGTTTGTAAAACGCGAGAACTTCTCCTCGTAAAATTATCCGCTCGCACGCAATTCTAAAGGCCCGATATCTAAATAACAGACTGGAAAACGAGCGTCCTCATTGGAGGACGCGCGTTGGAGAACGCACGTTCTCGTAAAAAATAAAGAGCCAGAAAATAGTTTGCGCGATTGAAAGTGGTTCAAGAATCATTTCAAAGCAAGAGCGCGCTTGCGCCATTTTCTCTCTCAAAGTTTCTCTACGATATTACTATACATACGATAAGAGAAAGAAAATAAATCCATAGGAAAAGTTCTAATACAAGATTGTAAGAAAGACGTAGTTATAGAAAGTAATTCAAATTCAAATGTTATCGCAGTCTGCTAATAGATACAAAAAGTAATATGTAACATTTATAGAAATGTAATTGATTTCGGTTTAGCAAAAAAAATTAATTGTTATATTATTATTAAAATAGCAAGTAATATTATTAATTTTATTATTATTAATCTTTTCGGAAGAAAGAGGATAGCAGTGGATAAAGTGGGGGAAACAAGGGAAGCAACGATAGTTACAATAAGATATTTCCAACTTGGGCAAAACGCTTTTATTTATATACAAAAATCACAAGTTAAGTATACATATATACTATTAACGTTCGGACGCACGCGTAAATGGTTCGCACGCGCGTGTCGTTCTCGTTTCTTGCGTGCGGAGACGGCGCGCGTGCATCTGGGCACGGGGCATCTCTCTGCCTCGGTGAACTGCTGAACAGTGCGCTTTATTTTTCATCTATACAAGGTAAGATAAAGAATCATCTCGGGAGTACATAGCTTATTATAGACCGGTGTCTCATGCCTTGTCTTCGTGTTACGTTTGTATCCTAGATTAATTAATATACCACACTATATTTATTTTTATTTGTGTTTGCGTTTCGAAAGCTCGGGGTCGGTTCTGTCCATGGCAAGCTGGCTCGGAATCAGGTCACGTTTGAGGTAAAGTTGGGCTGATTAACCTGCAACAGAGAAGGGAGACTGTGTGAGGAACGATGCCTGAAATATTTAACGTAGCGTTACAGAGAGTTGGCAGTATACGGTAGCCAGTAATAACACAATTACCGAAAGACGCCTTATTATGTGTACTCTGTGCATGTGTAGACAAAGAAATCGTGACAGTAAAATAATAATAAAAACCGAGTATTTTGGTAAATTAAATCGGCAACATAAAATTAAAATATCTTCAAAAGAAATTAATAAAAACACAAGATAAAATGGAAAGTCCCTTGAACACAGAAAAATGTAACATAATAAAATGTATACGGAAATAAAATAAATGGATACAATCACAATAGAAAATGCAAAGCAATAACGTAAACGCTAATAAATCCAAAATGCTGATTCATTTATTGCTTACTTCTTACTACTTTCTTTTTAAGTGTTGTTTTTATATATCGTAGTTTTAAGACAAATAGACAATGATACCCGCGGAATGAAATTTAGGTTTACGTTACAGGGACGCTCGCAGGGACTTTCTTTGTTGCGACTATAGTAACTTTACGCTATCCTCAAGAGAGGATTCGTTTCTTCATATATGAAGTTCGGAACTTTCATTTATCAAGGAAATATAGAAGTCTTCAACAGTACGTATGCCCCCGTAAGCGAAATAACCAGATTTTACTCCGTAAAAGCGGTTAACGTGCGCCGAAATTGTTTTCGTTCCCAGTACACGGTCGCCACAAAGATATTTTCGGTTCACCGGTGCGTCCGTATTCGGGCCAATTTCAATTTCGAGTTCAGGACCAAAGTGAATTAAACGATGCCGCAGCGAGTCTCGGTGAGCTACTGCCGGCCGCCAAACTGCGATTGAGTAAACTGATTTACCCCTACTCTTCCCTCAGCTGTTTGTCGGAAACACAGAGGACGAGGCGTTGCTTAACGCACAGGGAAATTTAAATGGCTGCTTGATCAAAACGGGTCGCGAGAGAAACGACGATCGGAATCGTCCGACATAAATCAATTTCACGGCGGAATCTGCTGCGACTTTTTTGCCATCCGGCTTATCCCCCGGAAGTCATGTGTCTTCCGTCGTGCGGTAATTCGGTTATTTCGGTCAGCCGTTTCTCTTTACGCAGAAGAATCGCACGGCGGAATTTTAGCGAGCGAAACGAAAAAGAAAAACCGCCCTGTTTAACCGTCCACTTTAGACGAAGGCGCTTCTTCCAATTACGAAATTAATTAAACCTCCGGTTGAGACACAAAGAAACTTCATTTCTGCCGTACGGCGCGATGCGGTCACGCGAGTGATATCCCTCGGGGGGTAGAAACGCTGTTTCAAACACTGTGCCTTTTGAAGTCGCACACTTGATTATTAATCTCCCCTAATTGTATTCTCGAGCTCGCGATAAATCTTGTACATTGACCTCGTGCGAGCATGTTTCGCAATTTCGCATATTTCTCACATTAAACAAAAAGTTTATATGTTTATTTTTGCTTTTGAAATTGAGAAAAATTCCATTTAGCCGTTTAGTGTCACATTAAATCGTGGTCAGATGTTAAGAAAAAAAAATTTCATTTAACGTTTACAAATCTCAAAGTGTCTTTTTTGTGTCGATCGCGTAATTCGGACACTGCGACGCAAACACGAGTTTCAAGAGTTTTCATTATTTAACGGTACGACAATTCTCACCTCTTCCTGGTGGTCGCTGACCGCCGTCGTCTTCCTCGGGGTGAGCGGCGTTCCATTCCAGCGCCCTTAGGATTTCCGGCGGAATGGGCGGCGCCGTGGGGATGTGGGAGCCCTGCACTTGGAAACCATTCTCGTCCGCTATCCAATTGATGCTGACCTGTTGGCCGTCCGGTGCTGTGTACTTATCCGCACCCTGCGAGACTACTGGCGTCTCTTGTTCCACTTGTTTTGGCTGGCCCGATTCCTGATGGCTGATCCCATTGCTCGTCTCAAAGCTGCGGGATAAATGATCGTGTGACATAATAATAAACAACAAACAAATATTTTTAATTAAACTGGAAATTATGTAAGTAAGCAGCGGTAAAATCGTGTTATTAAAAAGAACATTCTCTGGAACAAGTTTATTTATTATACAATCTCTTCCGTTCACATCAGCTGTTCGCGAATCTCGTTATTATCTTTCCGTTATTTAAGCTAATGTGCGATCTTTTTTTCAGAGGGTCTGTCCAAATTTTGTTCTCGAAGTATTTAAATCACTTGTGATGATATTAGCACATCAAATAGCAGCTGTTCGTTTCCGATGTCTATTGATGGTAATAATAGCGTTTGTTGTATATAATAATGTATGTGAATGTCATTGCTGTAAAACCTGAGAACTTTGATAAATTTAACTTATTAGATTCAACTGCGGTTTGTACGTATTTACTTTCTCGCATTAATTGGTCTACTTTTTTCAGTATAACTCTTTATAACTTTTTATGCGGTACTAACAAGTACGCGTATATGTAAGAAAAAATTTTAAAGGAATAAAAAATAAAATTTAAGAAGCAACACAAACAAAATATGTAGAAACATAAATCTAAGATTCTTGATTATTTGTGTGTAGTTACATAAAATTTTAAAGTTAAATAATAAATCTATAAAATTTAATATAAAAAAATATAAACATAGTAATAATAAAACAGTAATAAAATTAAGTACTTTATTGCACATTAAATATTTGAATACAAATAAAAAATGTACTAAAAAAAAGTTTATAATAATAATAGTAATAATGTATATAAAAAAATTAAGTAATTATTATTAAAAAATAATACATAAAATTTTATTATTTAATATAATAAAACATAACTTTAGTAATTTAAATGATCTATCAAAATGTATATCTTTACTGCTGAAACAAGATACTCTGCGAATACAGTTCATAGTTTGACAGCTCAATTAGAGTGATGGACGAGAACAAACCAAATTCTGCTGTCATCGGCGATCGTTTCAGCGATCGATTGATGAATGCATTCACAATTCGCATGCAGATTCAAGAGGCGTCATGCGGCCTCGGATGGTATTAGATGGTACGAAAAAGAGAAACGATCGAAGGAGATGAGTCCTCGGCACAGTAGCGAATACTCCCACTCGCGCATAACAATGAAGTTATGCAGAAGGTAGATTGTCGTGGGCAACAATTGGCAGCGCGCCGATAAACTGGTGTCATCAGATATCTGATGTATGGAGGTACCTGTCTACCATCTCCGTATCGATTGTCTTCCTCGTATGTGATCGGTAGGCGAAAAGGATATGAATATTTGCGTGGGTAGCGCGGAATGTTTACGTTACAAAAGAATTTTTCGCGAAGTCACTGATTCACTAATGACGGCGATTTCGTCGATGATAGCACGATTTTTCTTATAAACGGAGAATTAAGGGAGAGTTATGGAATGCGCACTACTCAAGTAATTCTTTATTATATATTAATATTTTACATTTGGTATTGATTTATGAACTCAAATGAACATTTTGTAGCTTGATGTTTCAGGTACCTATTATTTAATCTTTTTCTAATAATAAATAAATTTGTTATAAGTTTCTCTATGGTTTTTTATAACGTGCTGCAAAAAAAAGTACAATTTAGATAACTGGACGTTTAAATTGTATATTGTAAGAAAGTTCTCAAAAAAATAAGTTATAAAAGTATTTGCCATTTCTACTTTCAAACAGTAGTGTTTAAGATATAAAGGTTTAAAATTAGCTAATTACACATTATGATTAAATAGCTGTCTGTCTTCATAAGTCATACGTAGATAATGTTAGTGATCATACGTGGTGACTCATGGACAAACAGCTGTTTAACTGTCATTTGTCATTAGCCAATTTAAAATTTTTTCTTTTCTGGAAACATGCAAATTTAAAATAAAATAATATAATTACATTATCATATAGCTGCACAAATTAATCAAAAATTAACATTAAGCAAGGGTATCTGATTTTTTGAAGTATTTCCATAGCAAGCACAAAATAAGATGTAATTTGTTAAATTTTTTTCTATATTACTCATTTATCATTTATTTTGTAACTTTATTATTAAATATATTGCCTATATGTCAAGTAATATATAAAATAATGAGATATGATTTAAGCAACGCCTTCGACAACTTTCCCCTATTAAAGTAGCATTAAAGTATGTATCAAGAATGTAACAAGTAATATCATAACTTACTTGTTGACATAGTTGCCGTCGAAGTTGACTTCGAGCTGCTGAGATGTAATTACCGCATCTTTTTCCGAGCCACCTGGTGGTACTCTTTGGGGTGCGCTCAATGTGCCTGTCGTACAAAGTACGACCGCCACCAACACCTGTCAACAATCATTTCATATATCGATGTGAAATATAAATAATACTGCATCAATAATAGATATTACAAATATGTGAAATGAAAATTATTTAATTCTAGAATAGGATATTTTATTTTTAGAATTAAAAAAAATCGCATTTGCAGCTGTATATAAGCGAGATAAAGTGATGCTACGAAATTCACAGCTAGAACTCACGGAATTTCAACTCGTATTTCGTGAGCGTGGAAAATCTAGCTGCTGTTACCACGCTGCGCGCGTAATGTCACTTTAATGTCCCAATACTGACCGGAGCGTAAACGTGCGAGGCGCGTGGTTTTATTATCGCGTTGGACGAGTAATCCCCGCACGGTTCCCCAATCATGACGCGCCGCAATGGAGACCATGGGATTTTTGTAAGAAACGATAGAATTGAAAAAAAAATGTAACCCGTTCGATTATAACGTTCAACGCGGAGCACATAATTTCCAGCGATATGATTATTAGTAGTGAAATCTTTTGCGGGTCCCTTCCAATTTCCTGGGCACGAAAATGATCGACGATAGTCGAGGTCGAATCCCGACGTGTTTTCCAGTTTACGCGTATTGTGAGAATACACGGGGACGATCCGCGGCGACAATCCTGCGGACAATAGCGTGGCGGTGCTCAACATCGCCAAACCTTTCGGCTTGCTCGAATATTCATAGAATTCGTGAAAGTACAACGTGAACTGGGTCAACCGTGCACTCGCACGTGTTGTATACGTGTGCGAGGCACGGTTGCAAAGGGCAACTAAGGACGATAATGCTTAGAAACTGCACGGCACGGTTACATCAGTTTCAAATGACATTATGAAATACGGTATGTAATGACAGGACGAAAGTGGTGCCGAGCAACGCGCCCGTTTTTCTCATGAACGCGGAGTGAACGTATAATTTCATTCACGAACTTCATCAGGCTTCAATCCAACCGCGGGGGAGGGAGAGTGGGGAGTGAAGAGCAGAAATCATCGTGTTACAAATGTCAACGGGTTTCAATTTGTTCGTCGCTTTTTTAATGCTTCACTCATTGAAAAGTAAAACGAAATTTATAATTAAAAAATTCACGATTAAAAAATGCATGTATTACAGTATTTTTACGCAAGATTGTCTAAGCGTTCTAAAAACTTTAAAATGGAATACTTATAGTATAACTGTAATAATATAAAATAGAATACGTACATTTGGACAAGAAGTGATAAATTTAATTGCTAAATCTATGATTGAAATGTTACAATACAAAAAACTCCTTGTTAAAACATTTAAAAATGTGCAAAATTATATCGTGTTACAAATGTCAACGGGTTTTAATTTGTTCGCTGCTCTTCTGATGCTTTACTTGTTAAAAAAGTAAAACAGAATTTATATAATTTAAAAATTTACGATTAAAGAATTGCATGTATAACGATATTCTTATATAAAATTGTTTAAAAATATAATGCTTATATTATTATATAACTGTAACAATATAAAATAGAGAACTTATATTTTGACAAGAACTACCAAATTTATCATTAAAAAATATCATTTTACAAAACTTCTTGTTAAAATATGATAAAAACATATAAAAGCAATAAATTATCTAACATAAAATGTACTTAAAATAAAATTTATACATATATGAATTATTATTCCAATTTCAAACTTCGGTTATAATTGGAGTTTGTTCTTCCTTGGTTAAAAGCGATATTTATATTGTTTATCTTATTCTGAAATTTATTGTTAAAACATGTACATTTAACTAAGTAAGAAGAAGTTCCAACTACGATCAAAGTTACAAGTTAGAATAATAATTCTGTATGTAATTTTATTCTAAATACGTCTGATTCATTGCTTTTACATATATGTGTAAAATAATCAATTTATGAGGAAATATAATGAAGCAAACTATAATCGTTTTGCACGCTAGGGATATCGTTTTTCCAGCGTTCGAAGCGGATTCGCTAATTTCGAACTTGCCCAGTTAATTCCAATTAATAATAGTTAGCTCTGCGGATTTCGGCCGCACAAGCCAGATTTTTGAATTTCAATTTAAACACGCGAATGTCACGCGATGAAACGCGCATCACGGGGATCGTTTCGATTGATTTCCCGTTAATCGAGCAACGAGCGATTAAAGAGCAAAGCTCGTTGGATTTAACGAAGCTGTCATGTGCAATTTACAATGGACCATGATTTTCGTGCAGCATTGCTCGCGTTAATCGCAAGCGATAGAAAATTACCGATGCATTCGCGAACGTAATATAAGCAGGGGGAAAGGCTATCAATCCATCTCTCAACCACCACAATTTTTATAACGTTCTATCCAAAGACTGTTCGTTCAAATCTACGAAGTTATAATCGATCCCCTTTTTTTGCCCGTCTTTGAGGGAAATCACGATTGAATTTGAGATTAGGGTCTTCTGCAAGTATCTCGAAAGGATAATTAAAACCGCTATCCAGGAGTTTCGTAAAATAAAGCTTATAATCCTTTCATATTCTCCATCCCCCAATTGAGGAAGATCGATACTTTCGACGAGTATACAGGGGAATGAGTCTGCTTTTGCGGCCACGAACTTTCGTCGAGAAAACTACTTATGCAAACGTGCTTATATCGAGAATCGACATTTGCTTTCCCGTTAACCGGCCAACCGGAGAACTGCTAATTGCCTCTCAATACACGTAATTTCGAGGGAGGCAGAAGGTCGACGTTGTTAATGATCGTTACGATGCATCCCGAGGCGCTGAGAGGCTCGAGCAAGATCATCTTCTCTATTTTTTCCTCTCTTTTCGACCGGTTGCGCGAATGCCGCTGGATTGTTTCACGCCTCGTGCTCACGTAATGATTATCTCAGCAAACGAATCTGAAATGCTAATTGATCGGCATCGTTATTAAGCGATCAGGAAAACGACAGTATGCGCGGAAAATCTCCGTGGTTAAAAGCAAGACGCGGCGAGAATTATCGTGCAACGACGACGTCGTTGTGTTGAAGCACTTTGGTTTATGTGCAACGTGCAATAACGCGGCGAATTATGAAAACGGGAGGGGAACGAAGGCAGCTTCTTGCCTTCTGGCATAAAGTCGCAAGAATCGCGCAAGAAATGCACGCTCGTTCGAAATGCGCGTCCGACGTTGAGTGCCTCGTCAGCCGATTTAAGCGTTTAACGACAAGATCGTTTACGAGATCGATAGCCGTTCTCTCGATGTCGTTTATCATTCGATAGCAAACGTCGAAGTTATGTATATCATGTACGAAGCGAATTCAAGATGAAAATCGAGTACTTTCCAAGAAGGTTCTCTAACGCAGCTGTAAATAGAATTCCGTTCGAACCTTTTTCATTGACGAGACAGATTCGAGGGGCAAAAACGCCTCTCAAACTTTCCACTCACGTCTGTGAAAATTTCGTATAAATATATGCTTGAATTTTATTTGAAAATCGAAGAGCAGATCGGAATTTCGCGTTTGCCTCCAGGACGGTATATTCGAGATTGCTAACAATGTTGATCTTTACAGTGTGCTTGGTTACGTAGTAACGACAGTAATCAGGATTTGCCTTTCGTAAGCATTCGTATAGCGCGGATGGTGCTGTAATTTGAAAATAATCTCGCGGTATAGCCGATTGTGTTACGCGATGGTAATGAAATATGATTAGCGAGATATGAGACGGTGATTTTTCTGCGGCGCGCTGCCTTCATTGAAGATTACCGCGGAAATCGATATGCCTTTACTCGGTGAGCTGACATTGAGAAATCCGATTCAATGACGTTCTCCACACTATGCGAGATTATACGGATATGCGCTTCCGCTGCATAACGTATTAAATGCGTATCCGCCTTGAAAAATCTCCACACCATTTACGCACGTAACTGTTATAGCATATGCAACTGGAAATCTCAAAGTATCGTGTTAAATGTAATCTTCGAATTTTTTTTTTACTAGTCGCTCTGGAAAATTTTATAATTTACAACGAATATAAAACATATCCAATGAGTGCAAAAGAATTTATATATGTACGGGAAGATATCTTTTAAACGTCTTATTTATAAAAAAAAAGTGTTTTTTAAAGATTATAATTGAAAAGTACATATATAATAACGTTCTGTTTTAAATAAAAAAAAAAATACTGCACGTCAATGAATGTTTATGATCTTAGAAGAAATTTATCGATTATATACAAATATTTTTATGCATCCAAACAATACAATTTTCTATTTCTTTTGTTTATATTATTAAGATAATATATTTTAGTTATTACATTCATTGAATATTGCATTCACTAAACATACATTTTAATGCAAATTTAAAAACGCAAAATACTGTTTTATACAAATCTTATAACGTACTAACCATTAAAGCAATCATGATTAACCAATAACGCACCGTGCCAGTAGCTGCCGAGTCATTTCTTTTTCTTGACGGCACAGACCGTAATGTACATACGCGTACCGAAACTCCAAGAATACGCCGGCAATTATCATTTGTGAAGAAAAAGGTGTCGCCAAGGAGGCGTTGTGTGACGTAACGTTTGTCAAGTGTCCCATTTGTTACAATGCAATTATATTCACAATAAAATTCTGCATTTATTCGGCATGCGTGCGCCACATATTGCATCACACTTCGTGAAAGATAAGTCAAATTCATTATATATGTAAATGGCTGGTGAATTATTGTTGCGTCGCTTGACGATAGCCGGTGCAGTCTTACAGTTTACAGTGTTACGAAGCAATCCTTTCAAGTCAAATAAGAGAGAGAAACTTATATTCGGTCAAGAGAAACGGATTTTAGTGCTTAATAATATTCCGTAATTTTTTTTACAATTTTAACGTTTCTAAGTACATTTCTCAGTTTTACAAACCGTGCGTTGATTTGATTTGTCGGATTTGAACTGCAATCATAAATTATAGAGCTGTGGTAATATTACGGGTACAAATTTCATTAAACGTCAATTTAATAATGATACATGCATTTTGAAACATTGTAAAGAATAAGTAATGTAGAGGTGGCTATTGGGAACATTAAAGTTATTACAGCATAAGACAGAATCATCAGAAATAACATGGAATCGCGAATTAGACGGCAAAGAAGCAATGGCGAACGTTGCAAAAGGATGAAGAAACGTACATAAGGAGACGTAAGCGCGGCAAGTGGCATAATGAGATGACATAATCGCGATATGACGAATATGTTTTTATCTACTTTCTTATTTTAAATAAATCTTTTATAACGTACGCTATTTAATTCAATCGGCTTAATGTATGCAAAATTACGAGGAGAATACCGACTCCCATTATCACCAATTATTAGATCATATCAGACTAAATTCGACCGTCTGATTCCAATTTTAAACGTTTTCACACGTCATATGATCCCGTCAGACAAAATTGGACTTAAGCGTTAAATGCAAGATAAGAATATGATTTGCACTTCGATCGAGCGCAAATTCGTAAAAACGTATTTCCGCTTTTGCCTCCATTCTCGAGCGTAGAAATGTTGTATTGAATTTTGAAACTTCTCTCTGTAACAAAATTCTATATCTTCAAACTGGAGAGGTAATAATATTCCAGTAGCGACGCGCGAAAAAGAAAGAGAGAGAGAGAGAGAGAGATGATGAGAAGAAAGAGGAAGAAAGGAAAAGACGCACGCGTTTTCTGAAATGTAACTTATATGAGACGCACGGCGCATTTTTGAATTTGCGATACAGCGATCCCCGGGTTTTAAGAAATTTTTCTCTCCCCGACGCACGATCTGTCCTCGTGCGCGATACGATTTACTTGATAGCGCACACGGCGTATTTCATATTTACTAATATATATACGAGAGCGCGCGGAGCCGGAAAAATTGCCGAAGTCGCGCAAAGTTTATCGGTTCGTTTCCGCGAACGACTCCTCGTGAAAAATTCCGCTGATATCGGATGCGCGAGCCGAGGGGTGGATCGTTTAAATTTATTCCTCCGAGCGCGACAAGCACGGGCGAGATGCGAAAAGGAAAAAAAGTGGGAAACACGGTGGTGTCTCTTTCTTATATAATAATACGCTAAAAGGGCGATTTAACGTTCTTCATTACCGATAAGCTTGCGATTCGCGCGCAACGCGAAATAAAATCTCATCACTCTAATCGTCCGTGACGTCTTTCAGATTACGAATTACTGACCGTGCATTATGATTTGCTTCAAAAACGTTGAAAGAAGACATGCATTTATACGTAGAGCAAAAAAAAGTCACTTAAGAGAGAAAACGCTGACAATTTTTAAGCACCTTATTGAACTATTGCAACACTTTATAAGCAGATATCAAGTTTTAACGAGAAGACAAGAGATACTTTTCTCGTATCAATAATACGCGATATCTGTTTTCTCTTATCACCTCGGAAATAGCGTATGAATGCGTCATTCAATTTTTTATCCTGAGCGATATACGTTATGAAATACGACGTGCAACATTTTTAAATTTAGCTATGTAGAACATTCGATTGTTAAGCATCTTTTTGAACTGTTGCAAATTTTTTTAAGCAGATATCAAGCTTTAACTAGAAGACAAGAGATATATTCTCTCATATATACCGTATATATCATAATACTCAATATCTGTCTTTATCTATTGCCCTGAAAACCAATTTCTTTTCCCTGAGAGATACAAGTTACAAGATACGCGCAACATTTTTAAACTTAGCTATGTTATAGCGTCCAATTAATTAGTAATTGATAGTTTATCGCGGCCAGACTTAACCCGATTGTAAAACGATATCTCGACGGAGCGCCGTCAATTATATATACAAATACATAACGTGAAAGATGTGCAATGAGATTTGCGTAACTCTTGGACGTCTCGTCAAAATGTCATCCCATATCGCCGTCGACAAATCGCGCGTGAGTTCGAAGGCATCTAGTCTAGTCTGACACACACACACACACACACACACACGTCGCGACTTAAACTAATCTCATGACTGCAGGACGTCTCCTCACCCGAGGGACCTGACATTCGTCGTTACCTAACGTCGCCTCGCGGACGCATTTTCGTGTAAGATGGATGAGTTGAAATTTTCGAGGCAAAAGTTCCCTCATGTTCTCTCTCTCTCTCTCTCTCTCTCTCTTTGCCTTTCTCTCCTCTTTTGCACTCTCTACGTCTCTATTCTCGCGAAGGAAGGCTCGCTCGCGACAACGATACCGGACCCAACTCGCGGCACTCTGCGAGTAATATACGCGTTACCTACCTTAATAGTATACATAATCTCTCTGTCACACGGGCACCGAGACGATGAAGAGGAGCTTTGCCTGAGATGCAGATGGGTTGGTGGTAGTACTTGTGCTTCTTCGTAAGACGCTTCGGCTCTTTATATACGCGACGGTGCCAACGTGGTGCAGTGAAAGGGGTCATCCCTGCCCTCTCTTCACAATACACTTCTTCTTCTGACCAGTGCATCTTCGGAAAAATGCTTGGGATGAATCAGGAGTGGAGACTCCGTACGGTTTTTTCTCTATCTTCCTTCATCATCCGTTCCCTCTTCTCTTCTCCAGCTCATCGATCCCCACCTCCCGCCCCCTCCTCCGCACGTCGCATGCACATGAACGGCCCGGATCGATTCCGGTATGCTTCTTGATCGGACATCCGGCCCGTGTTCTCCAAAAAACCAGAAAGACAAAGGGGGAGAAAGGGGGCAAAAGGGGAGGAAAAGAGCAAAGCATGAAGCAATTGCAATTGCTCATTAATCGGAAGTATTTTTTATCAATTAATTGCATATCCAAACAAGACAGTACATTATAACTGTATTATTTCAGAAACATCTCAGTTGGGACTTTTTAGAGGCGCGCGCGTTACATTATTATTACTTATTTAAAACGTTATACGCATGTAGACATAATAAAGGAAAGTTGATCTGATTTCTCCACTAAAAAAACATCCGGCGACCAGACTGACACTTCGTGCATGAAAAATCTCAGTTATTAAAAATATAGTATCGTCATAAATTGATATCGCTTCTACGGAAATAACGATAGACTCGCGTGACGCGTAACGATTGTACAATCGCGATTCCGCGAAGTGGAGCAAAGCGCATTGCGCCTGAAGTACGTGTAGGGACGCAATGTCTAGGTCGATTACGGCTACATCGGCGTAGCGTCGCGTCGTGGAAGCGATTTCCTCGCGCCATTCATAACGCCACGACACGTAGCGAGATAGCACGTCAGGGTAATGCATGCACGCGGGAAGCGCATACTTTATGCGCGCGTGTCTAGTCGTTGATAAGCCGCTTGTTGAATTCCACCTACAAATGATAATCCTAACACGGTCGGCGCGTATATTTCTTCGCGACGAATATATGTATTTTGTGTTTACCTGTTTCTATATCTATATGTACATATATTCTGCGTATATATTTATAAACGATTTTGAGATAACAATCACTGTAATGCATTGCAAGTATTTATACGTATATATTTCATCTATTTTATTCTATTTGTTTGTTGAGTAAGCTTTATCTATATTTTCTTTCTCTTATAAATTCAAAAATTATAAATATCCTTATTTATAATTTATAAGTAATTCTCGTATAAAATATTAACAATATAGAAAGAATAAGACTAATATTAATCGAGTAAGAAAGTAATTGGCATAAAGTATTATCAAATAATTTATGAAATAATAACTTATATATGTAAAATATATATAAGTTGTAACTTGTACAGAGATTTTACATATATAAGTTATAACTTTATATATTCTTTATATAAAAGTTATTACTTATATTACTTATAAGCTGATTATATAAACATATAATGTTTTTTAGAAGAAGGAAAATTAGGCAAAGTAATTAACAGATATACAGTAAAATAGGTAGAATATATAAAATATAAACACTTATTAACGCGTTATATTGTACTGATTGTTATCAAAATCGTTTGTTAAATAAATATAGTATAATTTACAACAGTGATAGAAATATAATAAATATAAGCATTATATTATTTAATTTTAGATAATATATTTCTGTTCCTATCGTTATAGTAAATTATATCTTTCTTATGAATCTGTTACAAAATTGATAACAAACATTCTTAGGAAGTGATTCTTTCTCTGTGTGTGTGTGTATATATATATATATATAGAGAGAGAGAGAGTAAGATGGATAATTCATTCGTTTTGAACCGAGCTGACCCGTGCATAGGAGAAGTTTTCAAGTTGCATTTACGACATCGTTATCGTGTTGAAAGAGAGTACGGCAATAACAGTTTGCCGTTTTCAGGAATCGTAGAAATCAAAAGATTATTGCGCAGTACCGCATGTTGCGCTTCAACGCGCACGTGTCAATATTCTTGGAAATCGGATTCTTCACAGCTTCGTTGTACGGATGCGGCCGTTTACGTATAAAATGTTTCCCGTTTCTTTCCTTAATGTAATGTAAACGCGTCCAATGTTGAACCACGCGTTGACCTTTGTGATCGCTATCGGCTACTTTCGACTTTTACAATTATCACCAGATCGTAAATACGTGAGTGGATTTATTAAGAGAAGCACAATAAGAAAAAACGACAAATCGCAAAGAATTGCTAACTGTTTGCATAACAATTCGCTGAAATTGACCATAGTCGTTTCGTTTCGCAGTAAAATTGTGTTATCGTATTGCATGCTTTTTAAATTAAAAACAATTCTAATAATTGTTGCTAAATATAAAAGTATGAAAATCAAACTTCAAGATATATAAAAAATGTTTTTTAAGTAAAAAATATAAATTTCTTTTTAATTTCTTCTTTTTAAGAATTAAAAAAATTTTTGAAAAATGTTAACTTATTTATTAAACATATTACTTGAATTTAGTTAACTTATTTATTAAACATTACTTGAATTACGATTTATTACATACGTAATAAATACAAAAAGTTTGCAATAAATTATCTTTACAATGTAAAATTTTCTTGCATCAGTTTATTCTGGGTTTTTTTTTTTTTTAAGAAAAAATACATAAAACAATATCGATATTTCATCTTTTCTATTATAAAATGAAAAACATTTATTTTATATTTCTATATTTAAAATTTTTTTAATGTTTTTATATTTTATGTATTATTATTAAATATTTATTTTATTATGTTTTTCTTACGTTAACTTTTTTTATAAAGAACAAAGACTCAATAAATCTGTGTGCCCCTCTATCTTGACACGACGATAGTTGACTTCAAAACCATTCGTTCAACCCTGACATTTGCCATCGCCGCTCCAAAAAGTCGTGATTTACAATTTTCGCGAATTGCCAGCGGTTTTATTCGTTGCAATTCATTTTTATCTCACCAGTATACACGGTCCTTGAAACGAATTACGTTGATCGTTACGCGACGCATTCCTTATGATCTTCCCAGCTACGTCTCGAAAAGCCGCAATCTCGCGATCGCGAGCGAGAGTGACTATTCGATTCTGGAATGTGCAATCAGCCAGACTTTTATCGTTCGTATAATTAAGCACTTTTTACTTATACGGTAGCCGCGCCCTTTTCACTTGAGAATTTTCGAGCAAGATTTGCGCTCTCGCTTTTGACATTTTATAACGACGCGAAGACTCGAGAATTCGAGCGACTCACTGATCGTCATCGACTTCTCGCGCGCTACTTAATTCCTTATTCGAATTGGTCCGGTTCTTTTTCCTGGTAGCGTCGTAACGACTGAAGCAGAAAGTCATAAGAAGAGAGAGAGAGAGAGAGAGAGAGAGAGAAATAAAGTTTAAATTTAAAACTGTTGCTTGCGCGAGAACGTAATTGAACAGAAGTTTCTTATTCTATTGGGAAATATACCTACTTTTATTTCCGCGCTTATCAAAATTAGATTACGCTGGAGTTTCACTTATCTAACAGTCGCGGGAAAAAACACACGGGACTGACTCTCTCTTGAAAATTTAAGAACCGTAGGGATCGCCAATTTCGATGCTGCAACACAGAAGCTACTACGTTCCCTCGGACAGGTGTTACAGCCGCTTATCAGTCACGTGTCGAGTGGCATCGAACCATCGGTTTCGCGGGTACACGCAACAAGCGGATAACGTCGAAACAACCGACACGCCCGCAGATATTGTGCGGTATATCAAAGCAAGTACCCTAGCAATACCGCGCGCGCTTTGCGTAATTTCCACTCATTCAGTGCCACGAGGCCCAGAATGAACGCCTCCGCTGCAGCAGCCTTGGTATACTACGTGTCCTTATCATTTTTCGTAATCTCGCATGAATAATTAACGCGTACGGAACGGCGTTTTACATTTTTCCACGGCGTCTACGCTGCTAGATATCGAGGTATCCTTTGACTTAAATAACATTTTGTTATTTATTTCATGTGTACCAAAATGTCAATTGACCCATTCAGATTTGTAATTTAACACTTTAAAAGAGGTTCTCTTATAAGTGTAAATGTAATAAACTGAATTAAATATTAAATTAAACGACTGAGTCAAATTTAATAACATCTCTTGCGCTAAATTGTTTTAATTAATTTAATTACAGGCTACGTTCACATCAGGAGACATAACATATGTATATATGCGCAACGTGATTTACACCGTCATTCAGGAAAGTCTATAGGCATCAACTGTTTACACCGCATGTGAATAGAATTTTATATCTAAAATGAACATGTTCAGGAGACGTCTGAGGTAATAATCGATAAATAGATTATTGAAACATTTGAATTAAATCTCGTATCAATTAATAGTACCATATAAACTGTGACGTACATAAATTGTGATCATTTTCTAATGCTTTAAACTGAAATTTTTTTTTAAGATAAAAAGGCGATTTGAAAACTAGGAAGTATTTTGAAAGTTTTTTTCTGATATTATTTAGAAAAAAAAAACTTTCCAGGGTACTATACATCCTAATGTTTTATATTCGTCTCTTTCTACTTTTAAAAATATAAAAATTACTTTAATTTAAATGAAGGTATACCAATGATACCAGAACGCATAAAGCACATGTGTAACATGCTCGTAAGAGCGTAAATTACATAATTTCGTTATATAAATCTTTACTTTAAATATCTCGACGTTTCACGAGAAGTGACTTAAAAATATATTTTTTTCTGAGTTTTTGTTACAATTATGCATTTCAAGAACATAAAACTTTAATTATTCGACATGAAGTCGGCCGACGAATTCCGGGCTCTTTCCGGAAATCCCGGGCACCTGGCAACCCTAATCATAAGTACTCTAAAGTATTTTTGCGGACTCAGCGCTGTTTCAGGTTACGCCTTCATAAGCTGTTGTACTTTTATCTTAGCGAGAAAATTAGTTTTCTTAGTAAGCCTTAAAAAATTAGTACCTAAGTCTTTAGGTCAAATAACATGCGTTTATCAAACAGGCGGCCTATTTTAAGTCAAATCGTCAAAACCGAGATGT